CTAAACTTTCGTTTTGGCACTAACCGGCCTCTTGGATCTGGGATGAACCCCAGGTGAAAGCAGCCGTTTGTTGCTGAACCTACATCGGTAGACGCTTTTCTGGCGCTGATCTCTCTTTTCCAAATCAAGTTCCAAAAAGGACTCTCCGAACGGGAGTTATGTGATGCTTATCCCTACGTTGCCTCATTCTCGGTGGAAACGCTATTCTTATGTAGCGTCATTTCGAGGCCCCTATGGTTAGCAGTGGAGTGAAGCGAGCACTGGTGTTGTCGCCTCGACAATAGATCGCGGGATCGGTAGTTTCTATGTCTGCGCGTTGCTTTTTTCCGGAATGCTGGCTACAAAGACGTCTAACATTGCCACAAATCACTGCGTGTCTATGCTTTTCTCAACGAAAAAGTAGCAAGCACTTTCCAACCTGTTCGGACGCCTCCTCCCTACAAAAAGACTTTTGCGTACAGATGATTACAGCGCGTCACAAGCGCTTTGACGCCAACTCTGTGTTCAGTGAACAAAACTACCCCGGGGAGAGATTTCTAGCTACATAAGTCCAAGAACTTGAACCAACTTCGAAAAATTGGGCAGCAATGGTCAGCCTGTTATCGATGGCTTGTCTTCGAACGGAATTTTCTCGAATTGTTAATTAATTTATCAAGAAAACCGGAGCGGTCTCACACCTTATCTTGTTCTCACTTACTACAGAGTTGCTTTCATTCCATTTCATTTAATGAGGTCAACATGCATGATCATTCACGAGTAATATTCTTGACGATGAGACTCTCAGTCAGAGTCAAAAACAGTATCAAATATCCTTATCACAGTCCACACCGCCTAATGTTAACAACACTATGATTACATCCTCAGAAAACTGCAACAGATACCGGATGCTTTAGACAATATCAGTTGGAATGCTGCCAAAACTTCCAGTATCTTCACGCTACGATATCTGTTGAGGAAAATGTTTCGTTTGGCTAAATACTCGGCCGTGAACAGGACGTCAAAAACAGTATTGAATATTATCATGACAGCATCCACTATCATTATCTACTGTTTCGAGATTGAATGTCAAAGTCGTGAAGGAAATGATTGTCAAGGTCATAAAGGAAGCCTTTACATGAAGTAGAAATGGAAATCAATGGAAAGAAAGCGTGAAACATCAAAGGAAAGCAATTGAGGCACTGTAGAATTGGACCGCGCTTGTAATTGTAGCGTTATAACGCGCTGTACAGTGCAGCACAGCGCGACGAGGCGCTCTAACGTACGACGTCGCGGAGTGTGAACGCTGCATACTAGTTTCTGTGGATAATGTAAAACCGAACCGTGAGCAACTTCTGTGAACAATACCACGTACTACTCTTTCTTTCAAGGATCGATCCTCAAAGACTTTTGGCAGCATTCCGTGACACATTTGCAATTGTGTCACATGGCTTTTTTATTCTGAAGAACAAATACGAAGTTTTTGAAGATAAACCAGGTTAGCCGTTTTGCAAGTAACGTGACAAAGTTCACCAGTTTTGCTTCAACTGTTGTTGTTTGCTACTTTCAACGTTTCTTGTTCTGCCTAATCTTAACCTATTTAGGGTTGATTACTGCTACTCTAGAAAATCACTTTCGAACGGTGTTTCTTCTTCTCTGGTTTCTCCGCACACTCGTACAGTATTCCAAATTAGATGTGGGAGGCAAACCTTATCCAAGACGTTTTCAACCGTTTTCCTCTGCCTTTTCTCTTCATTTGTGAATCAAGAACACTTACATTTTTCTCCGTGGATCACTCTTTCCAGTTGTAATGACGAAAGGTGTCTCGAAAGTAAAATTACATAGTGTATTTGATGCAGCTCCCCCATCGACTCATGTAATATTCGCTCGTTCATTCATCACACCGAACGCCTCCATTCGAGAGTAAAGAGTATATCTATAAGGCTGCGTTTATACTTTGCGGCAGCGTAGCGTAGCGCTTCCAGCGTACGCCAGCGGCAGTGCCGGGGAGAGGATGGATATCGATCTAGCGTTCCCAGCGTCACCAGCGTAACGCGAGACTAAGGGTGAGTGAGAGACGACCGCAATGGATCTGTTTTTGCACGCCTCCAGCCTGCTCCATAGCTCGTACTCGGCCCGCCGCTGCAAACGCTACGCGAAAAGCCTGAAAACTCGCGGGCTGAGAAAAGCGCCTGGGCGTAACGCCTAGCGCCTTCACGCATGGTGACGTAGGATCGATATGATTCCTCTCCCCGGCACTAGCCCTGCTGGCGTACGCTTCGAAGCGCTTACGCCTACGCTGCGCGAAAGTATAAAACGCAGAGCCTAAACGGCACAGAATGGCAAATAAAAGTATATCGGATGTTCTTTTCAGTCGCGTCCATGAGGCAACTAAAAGTTTTGTCTGCCCATACTTAACCTCTATCAATGTGCCGTTCAATGCCCTCGAGACATTACTAATAATGGAATCGGAACATGGGCTCGGCAGCCACGTAACATTCCTTGCGGCAACATGCTGCATGTACTTTCACTGCGCGGATGGGCACAACGTTGTTGTGAGCGCCTGTATTACGGGACACGAATAATAGTAGCAAGGAACCTCATGTGAGAATACCAAAGAGAGTGCAATGGCCAAATATTCTCGTGCCAAATGTGCAATGATTATAATTTGCTGTTGAAAAAAGCAGTTTATTTTTGAGCAACACTGATGGGCAGCAACGTTTGCAGAGTTCTCCCAAATTTAAGATTTGAAGGGCAACCAGCTTCGATGGCGCTATTAGATGGCGTTACTCTTTTCAAATCAATTGGGACACGTCCCTTACACTGAGCAGATGACCAGCTGGACCACATGAGGTACAACCCCCGCTCCACCCCCCACGCCCATTTTCAGTGATTTTCACTGCCATAATTTTTCAAGACGTTTCATGAAATCTGCCCCTTGTCTTTCCCTTTTGCTATATCGCTCTTCAGGTGACGAGCGCCCACTTGCCTGACCTCAATGAGCAATTTCTATTTTTATGATGCTCAGCCAACTTCTTGTCAAGCATATACAGGGGGCCTAAAAAAAGACACTTCGGCCGAGTCACATATCAGCAAAGTTTTCGCAGCCCAGACAGAGGACGTGGATACGAGTACCAGGGCGGAAGATACCCAAGATGTTCCTCTATAAGCAGGAGCTGGCTCTCGCCCATCACCTTCATGTACACCAAAATATGAAGTCATCTCCAGTCGCAGCCTGACTGGAGAAGACCTTTGGAATTCATGTCACCTCCAAACAGCTGCGAAACTTCTAGTATGGAGTCACCCATGGATAGCTACCTGGAGACCAGTACTCTCGATCTGGAAGACCTCCAACATCGAGCAGCTCCGACAACGTCGCTACGGTCCAGGATATCATCTTCACCGCAGTCGCCAAGGCGCGGGTTGGTGGTATGGACCGGAAGTTCCTGGAATGTGAAGACCGATATTTTCTTCGTGGACCCCGGACTGAAGGTGAGCGCTGACGGTTACATCGACCAACTCGTGAAGAATATCCTGCCTTCATGTCATCGCCTGTACCTTCTTGGAAACTTCGTACTACAGGATTGGGTGCCTCCACACGGAATCGAAGGGCGTTGGAAAAACTCTCGCCTACTTGGGATGAAAGGGCGTTGAGTAGAAGGCGGAATATCTAAGTGTGTCACCTGGCCTAAACCCCGCTCAATTACCCGGTTCGGGCGGAGTTCAATAGGGTGGTCTACAGTGGTCGGAGAAATCAACGACTTCG